AGCAATCCATCTAGGTAATTCAACAAACTTACCAGCTCTTGTTGGGTCATATCTATCATAATCAAATATTATTTTGTTTATTTTATCAAGCTTTAAATCAGACCTATAAAAATTCTTGTTTTCTACGCTTATTTCTATATCTGATGCCATATTTTTTGTTGCATTGTTTAAGTCTTCTTCGTTTAATATATTATGTCTTCGTGAACGAATACTAGCAACAAAAATCCTTATCTTCATCTTCTAAATGCTTAAACTTAACGGATACATCAACTAAAAGTTTCATACTTTTGTTTTTATTTAACTAATCTCTTAATCTAGGTTTTTGATAATATATGTGTGATAATCCTGCATATCCTAATTTTTGAATGTTTGTTATGACATATGTGTTAGCATAAGCTTTTAAAGCTGTAAATACGTTAGTTCTTGTGCCGAATGTTGATATAGAATATCGTTTTAAAGCTTTTCTTACTGCTATCCCCTTAGATGCTTTATCAAGTATGTTAAAACGTTTATATTCTGGTGTTTTTTCTATCTGTTCTAACTTGTTTATGGAGGCGGCGCCTGTACGGGGCCGTGCGCTGGAGCACATTTTGTACTGGGGTGGGGGGGGGGTGGGGGGGTGGGGTGGGGTGGGGTTTAATGACGTTCTGGTGCGACAACAACAACAACAAAGTACTACTAGTACTACTGCTGCGTTGTGCTCAGGCCCCGAACTTGCTCATGCCGAAAGCAGGAATCCAAGTAGGCAGTAGCTTCCAAGATCTCTTACGCTTGTAGTGCTCAGTTTTGGTAGAGTTTCAAGTTAAGTTTTAGGGTTCAGGGTTTTAGGTTTTTAGTGATAGCTTAGAGTTTCAAGTTAAGTTTTAGGGTTCAGGGTTTTAGGGTTTTAGTGATAGTTTTTTTCGGTTTGGTCATGCCTCGGCTTCTTTTTTAAATTACTTTAGCTTTCGTTGCTTTCCTTCAGCATGGTGATGCGATGGCTGTCACTCCTGCTCCTGATAGTTCTGGTTTTGCGAGAGTCCGCTTGTTTGCCATTCGCAGACTTGGCCGGGTTCCAGACATTTTCGGTGCAAGAGCTCAGAGACCACTTGTACATCTTGACGCTTGTGCATGAACCTGGAACAGCCGAGTGGGCAGCCTTGTGTGGAATGTTGATAGATTCGCGGCAAGGAGCACTGCCTTGGCTGCGGTTGTTGTCGCGGAAACACGATTTGGCCAGCCTTGTGAGCCTTGTGTCATGTTTGCTACTTTCCTCCCGACTATCGAGCAGTGCTTTCGATCTCGTGCGGGGAGTAATACCTCTGCTTGACCGTCGTTTCGGAAGCCTGGATTGTTGGGGTCCCTGCCCAACCGTGCAAGAGCTGGAACAACAGTTCGAGTTGCTGCTGGTTGAGGTACGCGCGTCAGTGCAGCGGACTGCGCCAACTCCTCGCGGCAGAAGCCGCACACCTCCTAGAACTCCTACAAGAAGAAGCTGTTCAGTGCAGCAGACTGCGCCAACACCTCGCGGCAGAAGCCGCACACCTCCTAGAACTCCTACTAGAAGAAGCTCTGGGACAAATGCGAGGATTGGTTCGGAACTAGCTGCTTCTCCAAGGTCGATGGTCGCCTGGGCAGAAATGGGGCCTCCGAGTCCAATGTCAGCGGAAGATTCACCCCGAACAATGCGCATGAAGAGTTCCTCCTACGAAACTTAAATAAAGGTTTAGATATGGTGTTCAAGCGTGAGGGAGTTAGTCAGTCTTTTTCGTTTTGTACATAGAGCAGCCAGGTTGGTGGGAGTCACAACGTCAAGCGGCTCGTCAATGTGCAGAAAGTTCCGGGCAAACATCTGCAAACATCCATTTGGTGGAAGCTTCGCAAGTTGCCCTGCCGCCTGCACTCAGCCCGCAGCTGCAAACTGTGCAGATCGACTTGGTGGAATCTTTGCGGCCTTGAAGTTACAATCGCGACGTTGAAACCCAAAGCCGATATCCCTTGCCTCAAGTAGCTTCTAGAATGTTCTGGTAAACCCGAAACCCGCAACTCTGAGGATAACGAACCCTTCGTGGACATGGAATGTGGCCAGGCGTTGCACACGGCAGAACCCGCCAATATCTCCAGCGCTACGTGGACTCCGCACAGCTTGGCTCCCGCTGCAAAGGCCGAAGGATCCTTAAACCCATGAACCTTAAACCCTAAGCCTTAAAGCCTTATCCCTCAACCCTAAACCCCCGAAGCCTAGATATATTGTTTTTTCTCATAGAATTAGCCCCAAGGCATCCGCAAATGCTCGGGGCTTGCAGCTCCAGGAAGCAGAGGAGGCTCAGCAGGACTCCTGCTCGGTTTAGGCTTTCGGGTTTAGGGTTCAGGATCTACTTGGAGGCGCAGGGGACTTAGTAAGTCGGTTAGAAGTCGGGTTATAATTGGGGTAACTCCAATTAGACTACGTATAACTGGGTTAGACTTAAAACCTACTTACTAAGTCCACTGCCTTTCCAAGTAGGGTTTACGGTGTACGGTTTGCAGCAGGAGACTGGAAGAAGACCGAAATGGGGCAGATGCCCGAAGTGCCATTACTCGCTCGCTCCGCATATATTCCAGACGGGTGAGCCTTTCGACAAAAGACCACAGGTTTGGGCAACTGCATAGCTACACATGTTTTGTTCCGGGTCGTTTACAAAACATGTTACGGTTTCCTCTGAGGTTTGCGAACCACGTCCGTCTGCTCTGCAGCAGCTTTTGGCGAACAAACGCCAGGGGCGGTCGGCGTTGCTGGCACCACGAAGCCTTTCCTATGTCTAGATTGTCAGAGGCATCCCCATGGATCCGTGCTAATGCACAGGACATTCGTTTTGCTTCTGGACGTGGCAGACCATGACGAAGTTTTGACGACCTTGGACTGGCTGCGAACCAGTCGCCAGGGAGCAGAGACAGGTTGGTGCAGAAACAGAAAGAGGGCAATGCTCATGAGTAGAATGGGGATATTGTGTATCACAAAGATGATGATGTCGTTGAGCATGACTCGTGCCTTCATTGCAGCAGACTACGTCTTCCGCTGTTGTTGGCACTTTTGTTCAAGGCAGCAAACTCTAGCACGGTTGCTGTCCGCAGCGACATAGTGGGTCCGCTGAGATGGTTCAAGTGGAGCCCTGCCCCATGGATGTTTGGGCGGCTGCTGTCGCGACTCGTCGACTGGGGCTCGCGGAGCGTTGGGCCGATCTGTACGATGTGATCTTGAATATGTATGGCGTTTTCAGATTCGGTCCAGCAGCATGTTGCTCAGTTTTGATCTTCGCTGCAGATGTGCTCTCAACGTGCTTGCCGCTTCGCTATCCATTACAGGCTTGAGGTGTTAAGGTTAAGGCCTCAGGGTGCAAAGTTCAATTTTAAGCCTTAGGATACTTTGTTTAAGGTTGAGGGTGGCGGGCTTAAGGGACTGTTCTTTTCAGAATGCTCTGCCCCAGAAGGCACAGCCGCTTCGATGTAGATCTACTTGACCTGGCGGAAATGGAAAGGCACATCACGCGTGCTAACCTGATGCCGCCCGTAGCATCGCCACGACCTTTGAGTTTCGAGGACAGAGCTCGGCGCGCATGGCGTGAGATCTATGTAGAAGCTTTGCATGGTCTTGCACAGAAGCTCCCAGACTGCAAGGCATTGCTTGATCAATTTTGCGCAGAAGCGCATGGGCATCCGATCCTTAGTATCCTCTGGCCAGAAGTCCGGACTGTCTTGGAGGATTTTCATTTGTTCGTGGAGGGCTTGGCGCTGAGAGCACGTGCCAGTGACCCCCACACGCCTGCCTGTGTCGACTGAGATTCCCGAAACCAGAACGCAAGTCCGGCGGCTCGTGTAAAGAATCTTAGCTCCAGTGCAGGGACGCTGAGTGTGACAATGGCGCATTCTGTTTCCTAACAACATGGCGCATGATACAGACAGGTGATGACTCATTGCACATGTCAACATGACGCTGACAAAACGATGCTAGGGAGGATGAGAACAGGATGCTCAGCATGATGACGAGAAAATGATGCTCCGGATGATGATGACGATCATGATGATGATTCCTTTGGGCCTGTCTCCTACAGGGAGGGTTGATGGTGAGACAACCCGGAGGCAGGCTCAAAGAAATCCCAAGCTATGATGATGATGACGATGATCACGATGATGATGTTGATGATGATGAAGAGGGTGCTCATGGTGCTGATGATGATGATGATGATGAGGGTGCACATGGTCATGATAATGATGATGATGATCATGATGATGATTCCTTTGGGCCTGTCTCCTACAGGTACAGGGAGGGTTGATGGTGAGACAACCCGGAGGCAGGCTCAAAGAAATCCCAAGCTATGATGATGATGCTGACGATGATGACGATGATGCTGATGATGAGTGTGCTCATGGTGATGAAGAAGATAATCAAAGTAGTCTTGCACACCAGCATCAACATCCATCAACATCATCTTCAAAATCCTCGCATGCATCTACATCATCCTAAAATCCTAAAAATCATCATCCATCATCAACATCATCCTAAAAATCATCATCTACATTATCCAACAAAACATCATCAACATTAACATGGTACCCAAAACCATCCAAGACGCCAAATCCAGACTTAAACGAGCCTGAAGCCATTAACCCCACTTATGCCGAGTCTAGCAGAGACTTTCTTTACAAGTGCTGTTTTCAACTTTGCAGACGTCCGCCAGGGCAGTGCAGTCCTCGTCCGTCTTTGTTCCTTGTCCTTCCTTGAAAGCTTCCAAGTTCAGCTGCTGGACTTCCTATGTTGTACTTCTCAAGACTGCTGCGCAGTCTGCCAGGTAGCGAGGCCTTTGTCGCGAATGCATGAAGATGGTAATTTTTCGTCAGGCTCTACCCTCTTTTGAGAATTTTCACAACATCAGCCTATAGCAGTGCGTCATTAGTGTGCAGCTGCTTCGGGCCTCCGGGGGTTTACGGGGACGTTGACATTTACGGGGTGCAGATGTCAACCCAGCATTCTCTTGCTAGCCATGGTCTGCTCGTGTTGTGGAAGTTCTAAGCACAACTTGCGTGGCTGTCCGCTACCAGGGAGTAAACGTCTGCGGGAACTCGCTGACGAAAACCGACGACTGCGCAGGGCGGCTCCCAACCCACAGGAAGGACGTCGACCACGAAAGTTTGGTGTTAACCACTGGGGTACCTTGAGCAAGAAGAGCCAGCACCGCAAGCAAGCTTCTACTGCTTACTCTGGGAAGCAAGCTCAACAGCTGCGGAAGCAGAAGGACAGGGAACGTCGACTCAAGACCTCTCCAATGCCCAGCAACCCCGCATTGGAGATCGCTGCTGTGGAAGAGCTGCAAAAGCTCGGGTTCCTCAACAGTTGCCCTCGTCGATGCCCACATTGTCGTGGCACCTTGGGCCAGTGGTCTGTTAGAAATGGCGCAGAGGCCTGCAGTCCCTGAACACTAAACTTCCTTAAACCGAAAACCCTCAACCCTGAACCCTAAGCCCTAAACCCTTCATCCCAAGTCCCTCCCAAATCTCCCAAGCGCTCAAGCCTCAACGTGATGGTGCAGGTTTATGTCCGCTGCGTTGACAATGATTGCCGCAGACGTGTCAACTTGCTCACTTTGCAGTCCTGGTTGCCAACCTGTGTTCGACTGGGCCGAAAGACCAGTCCCTCCAAGCTCTTGATGCTCATCCGAAACTGGGTGGCCACTGGCTTGGGCCGTGCCCCCTCCGCCTACAACTTGGCGCGTGCAGCGGGAATGACCTTCAAGCCTGTCAAAGCGATTCTGCAGTGTCTCCAGGACCTGGAAAGTGAAGCAGGGCGTCGCCTCAATGACTCCCTCACTTTGCGTGGAACGGTCGAGGTCGACGCAACCTCTCTCAGATGTGTGCGTGTCTACAAGGGAACCAAGAGGTTTGCGACAACTGTGCGCACGTGGCTTGCGAAGCATCCGCACGGCCCAGTGCCGAAGTACTGGCTTCTCCACTACAGGCTCGTGGGCGCGGTGCAAAGAAGCGACAATCGCAAGCTCGTTGTTCGTCTCCTGGAACACAAAGTCGTCCCAGCTGCTGCGAAGCCTCCTCCGGAGGCACCTTTGCTTAACAACTGTAGTTCCCCCCACAACCCATGAATACCCTAGACTTATCGCTTTTCCCTGTTTTTTTTGATGTTTGGGTTTGGGTTCACTTGTTTGGAAAATACAAACATGCAGGCGACGGCTGAGATTCTCCAGTCGAAGCTTTTGGACAGTGTGCACAAGAACGCTACGCTGATGGCAGACGGAGCACGGTCTTGGACGGCTGCAGCCAAAACCACCGGACACCGTGGAGACGCGAAACATGTCTGCCACTCCAAGGCTGAGTTCACCAAGGCTTCTTCCGACTCGCTAACTCTAGGTACTCAGCTGCTTGACAGGGTATGGGGTAACATCAAATGTTGTGTTCCGCCTTCCCTCGCCAGCCGCGCAAAGCACGGCTTGCCTGAACAGCAGATCCTGCAATATGTCTACCAAGCATTGTGGCGCCGACATATCGGCACTGCAAGTCTGCTGCAGCACTTGGGGGCTCTCGCAAAGGCTGCCTGAAAAGATCATCCAGCTCTGATATCCTTCTTCTTTGGGCCTCCCATTCACACAAGGTTAGGGTTTCAAGACTTAGGACTTCTGTGACTATCCCTGAAGCCTACACAATGCCCTAAAGATCGTTGTCCAATAAAGTTCTGAAGAAATAACTCCAAGACTGAAATCCCCAGCCATGAAAACCCACAGCAAGCCTCCCAAAACTAAAGATGCTTACAGCGAAAAACGCGCTCCCGCTGTGGAGAAAGCACGATGTTGAAACCAAAAGTCTTCGCGGCGATCCCTGACAAATAGCAGTAGCTGCAAAAAAAGACTTTGAAAACCCAACATGCTCACAGTCCAAAACGCGCCCGCGCTGTGGCGAGAGCACGATTTTGCAGCAAAAAAAACCCGAAACTTTGAATTTGTAAAACCCTGCGCAAAAAAACCCTTGAAAATGCACACAAACGCATGGGAAAATGGCATTTTCGCAAAAAGTTTTCCTCAGCTTCTAGTGTTTTCGGCACCTGCGAAAACTCTTGATCTCAATCAAAACGCGTGTTTCGCTCGAGTTTTGGCCTCGCCGCCGTCTGCCGCCAACAAAAAAATGTCTCCCAACGCACGGCCCCGTACAGGCGCCGGCACCTTGTTTATGAGTGTTCCTGGAAAAGGTTTTGATGGATTATAAGGGTATTCTTTATCATCTACAACAACTTTTTTTAATTGTTTACCGTCTTTATTTGTTTTAATTTTACCTACATCACTATTTAAAACATAGTTCATTACAGATTTTTGCCGATTAATATCCATATTACTATAGTATAGATTTTCTTTTAAGTAGTTTTTCATTTCCCTGCTGGGTCTGGGGCTCTCCATGCCCTTTAAGGTGGCTTCTCCTTAAGTAGAGGGTGTGGGCGCGCGCGCGGGCGTGGGCTGGGCTGGTGTGTCTGTTAACAATCATATTATAAGATAATATGATAGTTAATGTTTTTATGTTAAAAACTCATCTGTTCTATTGATATAATCGTTGTCCTGTATTATTGCTTTTTGTTTGTTCATTTTTTTCATGTATTCTTCTTTAGGTATATAAGGATATTTAGCATCTATAAAACGTTCAAATGTATAATCATCTTTGAAATGTTTTTCACCTATTCGTATATTAATAAATTTAGAAGCTTCATTTGAATACAATTTAAATTTTAGTTTGCTAATTTTTTCATTATTGTCTATGTATGCTAAAATCGCATGAATTGCACTTTCAACTTTATTTATTTGACTTTTTACATGATTAATAAATTTTCTCCTTGTATTATTCTTTTCATCTACATTGTTATAATAATCATATATAATTTTATTTCGTTGTTTGGTGTAAAAGTCTTTTACTTTATCATTAATTGTAAATGAGTTATCGTATAGTAATTTAATCTCATTGTAGAATGCATTATTGTAAAATTTGCATTCCGGTAATACACCTTTGGACGATTGTAATGTCTCCTCAAATGTAGGAAATGGATTTAATTTAACATAATAATATATTTGTAAATTTAATTTCTTCTCTGTGTAATCTGTTATATTGTATTTATGTTTATCTTCAACTGCTTTAACCACATTTTTAAAATCTTCAATACTACAATAATAAACATTTTCTTTAATTTTTTTAAAGTTTTACATACTTCACATTCTTTATAATTATATTTACAAATATCTTTAACAATATTACTAGGTATATTGAATTTATATAAGCTCAAATTCTGTTGATTAAACTTACAGTTTTTACATATACTCACTTTATGATTAATAGTTGTTTTCATTTCAATAACATTTAAGAACTTATTGATAAATTTATTCTTGTTCTAATGTTGACAAAAACATTATATTATTATACTGGTAAAATGTCTTTAAGTATATTTTCTGTTCTGGGCTGGGGCTCTCCATACCCTTTAAGGTGGCTTCTCCTTAAATAGTGGAGCGGGCGCGGGTTGGTCTCACGGATTTTGTGGGGAAATGGTGCAAGATTACGTGGGGAAATGGTGTAAGATTACGCGGGGAAATGGTGTTCCCTTTATCGTGGGAATGGTCTTCCCCTTATCGTGGGAATGGTATTCCCCTTATCGTGGGAATGGTCTTCCCCTTATCGTGGGAAGGATGTAAGATATATTGATAATGATGAATTAAAACATTATTTAAATGATGTATTTGATGATTATAATAATTAGAGGCACTGCCGACCCTAGGCGGGAGGGGGTAGGCATTTAAAGGGAGGGCGCCCTACAATAGTAGGAGAGCCATGAGTGAAACCGAGCAGAGAGACTTAAAAGCCCTGACAGATAGAAACCCATTTCCAAAGTTGAAAAAAGAAGTTGACAGTATAATATCAAAGTCGGGTATGAGTTATATTAGTGGAACGAATAAAATTTTATATGATTGTAAAAGAATGAATTATTATTGCTTGGTCAAGTTTATTTTAAAAGAACCTAAACAATTAGATATATTAAAATCACTGTATCAAAATATTTATCATGAAAATAAGTTAAGTTCAATAATTGATGAACATATATACAATAGAACATTTGCTTATAAGAAAATTAATCATATGTGTAAAACATTATTTCAAGAACTACTGTTTTGATTAATCACAACTTTTTATGAACAAGACAAAGGACAATATAATGCAAACTTTATATATCATCTTCTTCATCGTTTAAGAATTCTTGATAATGAAAAGTATAACTTTACCATTGACATTGATAAAACAGTTGAGAAATACAAAAATGAAGAATACCATAATCAAACAAACAAGTTGCAAGATATTAACTCAAAGCCATTACAAGTTATTAAAAATAAAACATTAGACGAACATGAATTAACAAAAGATAAACTTGTTGAAGATTTAGATGATGAAACAAGACAGTTTGTAAGAGACAGAATAAAAGTAATAAAGGTCTAGCAAACTTATATACAGTTATGCATTCATAATAATATTAGTATAAAATATTATTATAAATGTAGACAAAAGCCACCGCAGAAACCTAGACATAATATTATACAAAACATCATACATAATACCCCGACGTAAACCGACTAAGGAAGGAAACTTATGCCTAAGCTTATGACATAAAAATAGTATAAAATATCGGGATAGGGTCCTAGATAAAACTTATACAAAACCCTAAGATAATAAACCATCATAAAATATAGATGGGAAGAATAGTTCAAAAGATAACCCCAAAACTACATAAAGATTTTATATGAGGGTGCAACAAAAACGATAACGAACAAGATAGACAAGTTGAAAAACAGTATAGGGGCCTATATAGGGTCGGGGGGTAGAACCTTAGAATCCCCCTATTACATATTTTTTGGGGGAGGGGAGAGGAGAGAGCGGAGGAGAGGGGAGGGAGAGGGGAGGGAGAGGGAAGAACGGGAGAAAAGGGGAGGGGCCGCAGTCTGTGCAGGTTGGAGCGTTCTCTGCCACAGAAGAAAAATTTTTAACAATTTAACAATTTTGTTAAAATTTTTAACAACTTTCTTTATTCTAACCCTTTTAAAGACTGTTAATTTTAACTGTTGAAAAAATTTGCGCCTCTCCCTCCACTCTCCCCTTCCCTCTTCCCTCCCTCTCGCCTCTCAAAAGCAAAATTCCAAGCACCTTAAGCTGATATTTTGATAAATTTGTGAAACGGAAAGACAAGCAGGTCCCCTAATGTTTTGCAAAAATTTGTGATCCCAAAGCCAAATTGCAAGCACTGTCCCCAAGATTTTGGATGCATTTTTAATTTCAAAAAACAAAAAAAACACCCGCCGCCCACATTGCCCAGACGGCACACCACACCACCTCCATCCCACTGCGCCCACCGCCCACTGCCCAGCGCTCTCTGCACATTCCACCCACTCCACCAACTCTATCCATTCGATCCAGTTAGCCACCTCTGACATTTTTTTGCTTCTGTTGGATGTCGTTCATCTTGCGAATGCGCTTGGCAGACATGGTCCAGAACATACGCTGGAGGGCCAGCCTGCAACACCCATTCCAGGATGCGTTTACGGCCCTTGTTTTGGGCCCTCATATCACCATCCTGCTCGTTTCACGAGGTCCGTTCTGTACACACTCGTGGGCAACGCGAGACGGTGAGACAAGCCAAGAAAACGGCGACCTGCATTCGTAGCGAATGGAACGCCGCACCAAGCCTCTTCGAGGCCTTGAAACACTTGGAAACACACAGGTGTGAAACGGCACTACGCCTGTACTACCAGCCACTGACATTCCTTTGTGAACGCCGCCGGTTGCACAGGCGTACCCCTGCTCAGTCGGAGAAGGAAGAAGGTGCAGGCTTCAAAGCGGAGGCCCCGCTGCGGCCTTGGCCTTCGGAGCTGCTTGACGAACCTGCGCTTCCTTGACACGGAGCAACTCCACCAAGTCTGCCTGGCTCAACTTCGCGGCCGCCTTCTTCAATCTCTTGAAGCGCTTTTGAGTTGTTCGGATTTCTTTGCTTTTTTCAGCTTTTTCACGCAGCAAGCGGGCCCGATCGGCCTTGAGAGCAGCGAGTCTGTCCCCCAAGCTGGGCGCAGCGTTAGCGTCCATGGCAGCTGCAAAGAGAGGGGAAAGCGCCTACTAAGCAAGGTGAGCCGGAGCCGGAGCCCAAACGCTCGTCCACAAGGCTTTGCACACACGCACACACGTGCACACACCTCCCAGAGCAAGGCAAACGCATTCGAGCTGCGAACCCGGCTGTGCAACGACATGGCGCTCTCGCCAACACCTGCGCAGAGAGCTGCACGCCCACTCATTTGCCTTACTGAAACTGCAAACCATACAGCACAAACCTTTTGCTTCTTCACTCACCAGACTAAAAATGCAAAGCATACAGCGCAAACCTTTGCTTACAGAAAAACCCAGCACAAAAAAGCTCTCCCCCGCGCGAGCTTGCACCGCAAAAAGCACTCTGCCCAGAACTGCAAACCCGTCTGCGCAACAAGACGGCCTCCATGGTAGCCGTGCAGAATCCTGGCGGCTACTGCCCCAAATG